CTTTTTGAGCTGATTCTTTTTAAAGGAGTAGTTTACCCAAATGTGATCTCCAAACAGCTGAAAAAAACATCAACAGTCCACAAGTAATCCACACAAATTCAGTCCATCAATTAACATCTTGTGAAAAGCTGCATGTTTGTAATAAATAAATTAATCAATAAGATGTTTTTAACTTTAAACCATTGCTTTTGGCTAAAATACAAGTCCTCTATCCTCTAGCCATAGTATTGCTTTCTCCAGTAAAAAAGTAATCTCTTCTGAATCAGGCGAGAAATATGCACAGATCAAGCACTGTTTACAAACATAAACAGTCCAAAACAGGAAGCGTTATTATGGATTATAGACTGGTATTTTGGCCAGATTTAAAGTTAAAACAGCTTAATGATGGATTAGTTTACTGCAGCTTTTCACTTTACAAGATTAAGTTAAGTTAATTAATGGACTGGAGTCAAGACGATTACTTGTGAATTATTGTGATGTTTTTATCAGATGTTTGGACTCTCATTCTGACGGCACCCATTCACTTGCAGAAGATTTACTGGTGAGCAAGTGATGCAAAATGCAAGATTTCTCACAAATCTTTTCAGATGCAGAAACAAACTCATCTATATCTTGTATGGCCAGAGGATGAGTACATTTTCAACTAATTAAAATTTTTAGGTGAATTATTACTACCACAAATCATTCTAAAAGTTTGAATCAGTCTAACAAATTACTTGAATTTGTTAGAGCAGTTAACTGAAACATCTGACTCACTCACTGGACTTGTAAGACGGTGGTATTTTAATAGTATTTTGTATTTCATAAAACATATTTATAAAATAAAGGTTACAAAAATAATTGATTGCTTTGTTTAGTATGTATGTTTTGAAATCAGTGCATTGTGCATTGTGTCTGTTTCCCCACCAAAGCTTTGCGGTGTTTCCTGATGAAGTCTTCAGGCGAAGACGCCCAGGGGGGAATCAACACATCATTGACCTTCTCCTGACTGATTTGCAAGCAGCCCAGATCAAAACCTGCACACATGACATATTACAATTCAAAATCCATCAATCCAACATAATTCAGTGCCAGTGTAGTTTTCATCACTGAGAAGCTTCAGAGAGGCACACTGACTGTTCATGTTCTGCAGGAAATCTGGGAAGTAGAAGAACTCTGGGATGAGCTCCTTCACATCAACTGGACTCTCCATTCGTGCCTGCCATGCTGCTGCTACTGAATGAAACTGCCTATCGGCACAATCAAACCTAAGCACACACACAATCACTCTTGTAAGTGCAGCCCAAACATAGGACAATATACATGATTACTTGAAAACCATCAAGTAAACAACACTGCAACCTAGTGGTCAATACTATGGAGTGCCAACAAGCATAACATTTTATTTACAATATTTAAAATATTATTAATATTCAGAATATTCACAATTTGATGTTGGTGATCTACATTCCTGTATGGACACTTCATGTTTTTTTGGAGAATTAAAACCATTAAACAGAGTCAAATTTC